CTGCATGGCCACAAGTGAACAGTTTCAAACCACTGAGGTAACAAATGTCTCATTTTTTACCTCAGTGGTTTGAAACTGTTCACTTGTGGCCATGCAGAATCTGCAAACATAATTTGCTCTAAATGACTCCAGAAAACCACCTAAGCCATGCGAAGCCAGATTGTCAGCAGAAGCTCAAAAAATGGTGCCTTTCACATTCTGACCAACAGATTCAATGAAAACACCATCTTGTTCTAGTGTGTTGATATCATGAACCAATGGTGCAAGTACGCCTGCATATCCATATTTCTGGAGGTCTGTCACTTTAGCTAGCAGGGCCAATTGTATAGTGTGCATTGCTGATCTATACTTGGGCGGCACATTTGCGAGGACCCAGTATAAAGCACAGAGTTTGTGAACTTTACGTGATGTACCGAGAGGATTAGCAATTTCAAGATCATCAATATATAGCTGGATTGCTAGGTGTAGATCTTCTGTTGAGAGTAGCTTGTTTTCTTGGAAATGAGAGCCATCACGATATGACACATAATAACCAGGCTCAGAGTTTGGTTCTTTGATCTTATTCAGGATGTCTGTATTTTTAAACAGCTCCTGAATCATCTGAAGGATTGGAACATACATAATGGTATGACCAGGTGCTTCTAAATGGTACTCTACTGGCATTACCAATGGATAATTGTGCTCTATAAATGTCTTTCTTCGCTTATGAGAAGACAACTCTGCACCTTTGGATGTAGCACTAAATACAACATTAGAATCCATAACAGCCCTGACGACTTCATTGAGCGTGGAATCTGTAATATTGTGATCATGTCTCTTCAATATGTCATTAACTGCATATTTGATTAATAGCTGAGATAAAGAGAAGATCTGATTCATGTGATCAACTATTTCTTGTGTAGCTGAGTTTGACACATGAAGGATAGCCTGCATCTTTAGAAATAAAGATGCAGCATTAAGTTTGAGCTGATTTTTTAGTGCTGATGTATCACACTGCTCATCATCCTGCATTTCAGTGCACTGAAAT